ATTTGACATAAAAGATGACATACTTTTAATAAAGATAGAAAAATGCCATTACAAAGGTAAAAACAAAATTCTACTGTAAATCACTTTAAGGAGTCAAATATCACCTCGTTATGGGAAGGCTATTTTTTGATCAAATTTTGGTGCTCCTAAATTTTTTAAGTTAGGAGCACAAGCGCTCCTAAAAAGAAAAATAAGCATAGAGCCCTGACATGGCTGCATTTTAAAATGTCAAATGCTTTTGCTATGAAATCTACTGGTCTACTAATAGAAATCATCTTTAATAGAGCATATAAGAATGAAAAGCAAATCATCATTATCGCTGTCCGATTATAACACACTGTTTTTATAAAAAAATAAAAACGACTTTTATCTCACAATTCAGCCCTTTCTTCTCAGAATGTTGAGTTTATTCCTCTCATTGTCTCTCACGCCCTCTGTGCGTCACGTGATGCTGTGACGCGGTTGCGTGCTCTCCTAGCGTCTGCGCGTGTGCCGCTGCATGCCGGGCGAGCGCAGCTCCTCCTCTATGACGGGGTCGTCGGGCTGCACGGGCCGCGGCGGAGGGTAGTTGGGCTGGTAGTAGGAGGTGTAGGAGCCGTAGGGGTCGTCGTCCTCGGCCTCCGGGCCGTACGGCTGGTAGGAGCTGGGCTGAACTGCAGGAACATCTGTGTCAATGAGGTCAGCATCAACGCCCAGCTCTGAGCCGCACGCACCGCACAAGCAGCACGAGAGAGACACGCGTTACTGATGCGCCCACAGCACAAGCAGCCCTACAATCACTTAAAGAGCCAGTCCACCCAGAAATAAAAACTCTGTCATGAATACACTGAAAAGTGTCAAGCAGGAATATCACAGATTTATAGCTGAGGCTATATCTGAAATCATTCACTGCAAACTTTAACACACACAACTCCAAACTGAACCTCATGAGGGAACGGTGACAGAATGATTTTTATTTATTGGGTGAACTCACTCTTGACTGTCATTGATGCCCAGGCCACACCCCCTGCCCCGCCTTAAAGACGCAACACCATTCATTGATGCCCAGGCCACACCCCCATATATATACCTACCGTTCATGACGCCCAGGCCACACCCCCTGCCCCGCCCCCAAAGATACAATGCAACACCATTCATTGATGCCCAGGCCACACCCCCTGCCCCGCCTTAAAGATGCAACACCATTCATTGATGCCCAGGCCACACCCCCTGCCCCGCCCCCAAAGATACACGTCACCAATCACACGTTAGATGTTCATCCCGCTTCACCGTGTAAGTGTGAGACGCAGCAGCAGGCAGGAGCTGCACACTAATGTTTCACTAATATTGCACTCAATACTCAGATGAGTCACGTCTGTCGAACATGCAGTGCAGAGTATTATTATTCAGAGCTCATGATGAACTACAGCCGACTCCATTTCTACAGTAATCTGCTGACCGACTGAATCAAACCTGCAGCATAGTGAGGTCATGTGACGGTGTTTGAAATGGTCAGAATGACATACAGTTTCACATGCTGTATAAAAGAACACAGTGCAGTGGGGCTGCATGATCTGGAGGGAAAAAACGAATAGCGGTTGATTTGATAGAAATTGTGATTGTGATTTAACACTAGAACCGCCAGGGGTCGCTGTATACCTAAAAACATTTTACCCATGCACATGACAGCTGTTTTTGAATGGCTAAAGAACATATTATTTCACTGTATTATGCTACTGTCTTCACAAAGAAGTGTCTAGAGTCATGAAATGATTATGTCTAGTCATCAACTATATTTTTGTCCTGTTGTTTTATGTTCAAGGCTTTTTTATGCAGGCTACACTAGTCACTTTTCATAACGGTCAATATTAAGCTAAACAAGCCTGCACTGACAACGAGAATTAGAAGGAAGTAAATACATATTTGGGTGGTGTAATAGGCTATTATAATACAATGTCATTAATCAATATATTAAGATAACCTATGTTATTTAAATTACTAAAATAGCCTATAGATAATAATGAGCAATAATAGGCCTAATTCACCACATTGCATCGGATGATGCGACGACAAACTCAAGCGCACAGCTTCACCTAATTAATTATTATTTTGTTTAGTTATATCATTTATAATTTGAATTATACAAGAACACCAATAAACTTCGGGTAATCAAAAAAAAAGAAAGGTTTTATTCATTACATCAGATCAGATTTTTCTTCTTCAGGAAACAGACTAGAATAAATAGCAACACAGACGCGAACAATAAACGATAGAAATGGCAAAACAAAAATTTAATAATTAATCCAAATTTTGAACAATTATGAGTAACATTAGGATAAAACGTCTAAATATAATATATTGATCGCCGACAGATGCTTTACTGATCCTCACCATCAGACTCTCCATCGCTCGTGGCATTTAGTGCTTCTTATACCTCTTCAGCATTCATAAATCGCCTTCTTTTACTCATTTTGTCTTTATTTATGAAACTGATAACCGCTAATTCAGTGAGTGAAAGGCGTTGCCTAGCAATGTACTATGTTAAAACATAAGCAGCACGAAAATGACAGCACGAACATACAGGCATTATATAGCGGGTAAATTTGACCCACGCTGGCGCTTAT